TAGGAGCCCTTATTATAAAACTGGGACATTTTTTCCTGTCTCAGCATGAAGATTTATTTTCATGCATTTTTCAAGTATGAAGAACATTTGCATTTCTTCTTTTTATGATGAGCTACTCCACATAAATGCATCCTTATATGATAATCGCAACAATTATATACTACCATTTGATATTGCTTTTCATGGCTCCAGTAATCATGAATATCATCATATCATTCTCTAGACTGGGCCATACACACATTCAGTATTATAAGTTTGTCTCATCATAAAGGCTAATTCATAATTAAATTCTAAAATCAAATAATCAAACAAACAAACAAATGTGTCATTTCTTCCATACTCTTAGTCCGGGGAAAAAGGGGACACATCCTATTTCTATGAAAAGGGAATAAAAATTATTGATATCATTTTCCTAGAGTGAAAAATATTACTTTCAGAAAATGCTAAGAATGATGATTAGAAGAATTAGTTAGATTTATCTTCCTTAAAAATGTTTCTTGTATGTAAGCTGCTAATAATACCAGTCTCTTTGAGACTTTGTAAAATGGGAGATTTTCCTGCTCCAGATACCAGGCAAACCATTGTCTGCTTAGATGGGTTTTGTTACATTGTGCTATCTGGTATTAAAAGAACTAGATCCAAATTTAGCAGCATAGGCAGCATCTATATGAAATGAAATGACTTTATTTTAATAATTGATTAACCCCAGATTAAAGAAAATCACATATAAATAAATAAAATAAAGCAATAATAATAATAATAATAATAATAATAATAATAATAATAATAATAATAATAAGCATCACAGATATAAATCTCTTAAGAAATGATCATGGATTTTAGCAAGAAACCACATCTGTTTAATAACTAAAAACTTTTAAAATCCAATCATCCTGTGTTTATTGACAACAGCTTTGCGTGACTGTTTGGGGCATACTTATATATCAGTGGTGTCAATTTGAAAAAAGGTGATGCTGATATGTGGCTTGTGAGGGTAATAATACCTTGGCTGCCCCTCTAACAGGTTCTAAAACACGTAGCAGTAGTCAACAGCCACAAGAGTAACCTCTTCTACTAGGTGAAATATGAGCAGGTTGTAACTTTCAGTGTGCGTGTGTGTGTGTGTGTGTGTGTGTGTGTGTAAATTTCTTGGTAAGGTTTTTCAGAAGTGGTTTGCCATTACCTTCCTCCTAGGACTGAGAAAGTGTGGCTAGCCCAAGGCTATCCAGATGACTGTGTCTAAGAAGGAACTAGAACTCACAACCTCCCAGTTTCTAGCCTAATGCCGTAACCACTACATCAGATTGGCTCTTTTCTGTCTCATTGTTTGTTCTGAAGTTATTTATTTAGTTTTTTCCCCAATGAAATAACTTTAAAACTGTGTGTGATGATGGACAAAGCGGCATAAGCTCAAAAAACATTTTCTCTTTTGATAAACATAGAAACTAAGGCAATGAATAATGGAGACAGATGAAAAATAAAAAAGATATTGAGATTTAAATGAATGTGTTTCACAGGCATTCTGGCTAATATAATCTGCACTTATAGCTGTTATAAGTACAACCTGATCCTTTTTGCATTTGGGAGTTCATTTTCGCTGGCAGAGAGTTGCAGGAGGGTGTTGTGGCTGAAAACTCGGGAGCCCATTTTCTCTGGCAGAGTGCACAGGTGTCCCTGACACACGTGATGTTGAGCTGGCCGTGCCCACCATAGCCACGCCCACCTGGCCCCCCGAGGTCAAACACAACCCTCATGTGGCCCTCAATGAAATCGAGTTTGACACCTCTGAGCTAGAGTATCTATAGTTGTTAAGATACTTTCAGAAAAAGATTACAGAATAGGTTGTCAGTATTATCTGAGGGCAGGCCTTAGCCACATAGTACCTGCTTCTCCCTAAAATGGCATCCATTAAAAAAAAAAAAACATTTATTTGGACCGAAATTGTATGAAATCACCAAATCATGAGATTTTTGAGCAGGCTTGCATAAGACCTCATGAAGACATACATTTTTTGAAGAGGGTTGAAAGTCTTGATGAACAAACTGCTGAGGAATTCTATTCTTCTTGTCTATGGCACTTCAGCCATAATTATTGGAAAGGTCAGTGTTGGAGTTATCAGATCTGCACTTCAAACATCCAGATGTTCATGAAATGGCAGCAAAAAGTTAAAGTTCGGTGGAGAGAGGTTTTTCCACGGACTGGAGGGGGTGTGATTGTGCATACAGCCTGCATCCCACAGATGGGGCTTTGCTTGTTTGCACGGCCCAGTTTCTGGCATGCCGTGGCCCGGTGCCAGTTCACGGACCGTGGGTTGGGGATTCCTGATTTAATTGATTCCACTAACAATATCTTCCTTTCTAGAAGAATTTTATCCTTCGTATTTCTAGCCAGAATATCTAAGACTGAATACCCAGAACATAAGACTGTAAAATATCTGTATCTCCTTTTTAAGTTAGTTTGATAGGGCTGCTGTATTATTTTTAACTTTGCGTCCATCTTCTCATTCTTTTCAGGTGAGAAACCCCACAAGTGCCAGGTGTGTGGCAAAGCTTTCAGCCAGAGCTCAAACCTGATCACTCATAGTCGGAAACACACTGGCTTCAAGCCCTTCGGCTGTGATCTGTGCGGCAAAGGCTTTCAGAGGAAGGTGGATTTGCGGAGACACCGAGAGACACAGCATGGCCTGAAATGAGAACCTGGTGGACTCTGGAATAACAACACAAACACTATGTCAGCAAACTTCCCTTTTCTCCTTGTGGGCTGCCCGTGTCCTGCCTCTGTCTCTCTGGTCTGATCCTTGAGATCACTTCCTGCCCTATTCTCACTAAATAGGAAGTTGGGAGGAACTTGGTGAGAGTTTTACAGAAATTAACTCAAAAGGCCTTGGAATGAACATGAAATGCCAAGCCTAAAGAGGTGGGGAGAAGCACCTTTTCAGAATTAAATCCTGGACTAATAACATATGTATAGTATCTGTTCCCCTTTCACTCACACCTTGTGGCACAAAAGGCCCTATTTGGATAAGCTACTAGCATCTGTGAACTAGAAAATTATTTTTCCCAAGGAAACACACAGTCTGCGTTGGTTTCCTGGAAGTTACGTAATTTTCTGGGTTGCCCAAACTTTACATGGTATATAATCCCACAAAGGGGTACGATAAAGGAGAGTGTGATTTTTGTTTTATACCATTTAAGAGTTAAAACTTCATGTTTTCATTAAATTATTATTATTATTTTGCCTGGGAATTTTAAATTGACAGTGGAGGGAGCAATTGTATTTCCCACTCCGTCAGGCAGAAAGTACCTCAAGGGATGGTAAAACCCATAATTGAAAAGAAGGTCCTGTCCAGTGCTACAGTGATGGGAGAAGATGTGAAGCCTTGTGCTGTCAATGTTGTAGCCATTGAGTCAGTTCCATCTTTCTGTCCCAGCCACATAAATATTCAAATATGTGTTTTTTAAAAAAGAGAGAAGAACTCCGTGAATTTCTCTCTTATAGCTCATTATTAAAGTAATGCAACGAGCCTATTAAAGTGGGTAAAGGAAGTCAAAAATGTCAGTGGGAGTCAGAGGAAAAAGTTTATATGTTTTTCTACGTAGCTCACCAACCAACCACAAGCAAAGTGTTAATATCGTTGTACTGTCCGCCTCCTCAAAATTGCAGTGGAAGATCCTACTAGGCCATTTCTGTGGGTTGATCCTGACCATTTTTTTAGACTATTGAACACTAGTGGGGGCCTGAGGCAACGTTTTTTTCCCTAGAGGAAGAGCGATTCCCCACTTCAGCCTCAGTTTTATGGTGTCTGCAAGGGGGAAATTAATATTGGGTGCCTCATGAGGCAATTATGTAATTTGTGACATTTATGTGATGATGTCATGATGTGTGCGATTTACACCATGGGTCTTTACTAGAAAATGCATTTTCTTTTCCTCACAATCACTGCTGGTGTAGGACCCTGGGATTAGGAACCAGTAATTTCTTATTTCCTGCTGCAGTTTTCTGGTATTTCCAATTTGCACCTGTAAGAAGATCTCTTGAAACAACAAGTTGTTGTTGTTGTTGTTGTTTTTGCAGTATCCATTGTAAGTGAGTCTCCTTTTTGGTTCTTTAATAGGATTGCCCTAAAATCAAAGTTGAAAGACCCATGATGACACCCTTTACAGATTAAGATACTGAATGCCTTGAATTATGGGGAAAGAAATATGCACTCAAAGCAGGCAAGATCATCCGTCTTTTGGTCCTCAGCTAGGCACCAATGTAAAATAGGGGTGCTAGCCTGCAGTACTACCCTAATGCTCTGTTCCACAATCTTATCTTGGATCAGTTTTATTTACTGCGGTATCCCTATGCCATGCATTGACTCTTCAGTAATGACTATCAAGGTGGGAATTTGAGGGAACATGTTGTCTCAGTGGTGTCCTTCAAAAGTTTGAATCTACCCAGTAAAGACTGAGAGTCATTCTCTGTACACATGTTGCATACGCTCTGTACACATATGTGTGTGAAAATAGTCTGTGTTTTTCAGGCATTGGAAAGAACACCGTTTATGAAGAATTGCAAAGAAGGAACTTAAACATAAAGCAAGCAGGGTCTTAATGCTAGGTATTTTAGAGGGAAATACCTCTAATAAAATTTCTACAAGGGAAAGGAACAGGTAGGGAGAGTGACAAATTTCCCTTCCTAAAATGGCACTGGAACTTTGCAGTTAAGGATCACAGAGGCAAGAAACAGCCTCCATCTCAGCTCTGCATAGCTAGATAGTTCATAGCTGACCATCCTTAATCACAATGACACCAGAAAGACAAGACGTATCTTGTGACAGGATGGTGCGAGTTCTGCCTTTCTACAGTCATGCTGTGACATCACACAGAAGAAACAAAGGGCGGCTTTGTGTCACAACTTCAAAATGCATGTACACAATTCCTCATTTGCCCCCAATCTTCCTTACCTGTGTATGGGACAGTTCGTTTTGAAGTAGTTCCAGGTCAAAACAAGAGTTGCCTTAACTAATCCTGGCCATACCTCACTATGAGAAGGGAAGAAAGGGCGGGGGGGGGATTATTTTACTTTATAGATAGGAATGTAAAGTTTTTTTTGTGTAGATTCTACAATGTGTCTTATGTTCATTAATTCATATTTATTCAAGTGAAACTTAAATTAATAAAGTTCTGAGGATTCTCAGGAGTTGTATTTATTTCAACACAAAGAGTTAACCAAGTGTTCTGCATCTTAAATGGACTTCATTGGAGTCACATCCAAGAATATAGGAAGAACAATGTATTAGTTTTACTACGGTATGTAAATTTCTAATGGGTTTTGTTTGGTAAGGCAATATAATAACTGCACATAGAATATATTGCTTTACACCTAGAATCAAAGTGTGCTCTATAGCAGGGGTCTCCAACCTTGGCAACTTTAAGCCTGGCGGACTTCAACTCCCAGAATTCTCCAGCCAGCTTTGCGTTGAAATCCACCAGGCTTAAAGTTGCCAAGGTTGGAGACCCCTGCTCTATAGTCTGCAAGTGAGAGTATAAGATTCTGAACCAAATTTGGAGATGTCTGTTGAGATTCTCAGTCATCCAGGTCATGGTTGTCCCAAAGAGCCTTGGTAGTACAGTGGTCTAAGGCACCCTGTTATTAAGCTGTTATTAAGACCAGCTGCCTGCAATTACTGCAGGTTCGAATCTCGCCAAGGCTCAAGGTTGACTCAGCCTTCCATCCTTTCTAAGGTAGGTAAATTGAGGACCCAGTTGTGGGGGCAATAAGCTGACTTTGTATAAATATACAAAATAATGAAGGCTATTGCTTAGCGCATTGTAAGCCACCCTGAGTCTCCAGAGAAGGGCGGCATATAAATCAAATTAAAAATTAAAAAATTAAATGTGCTTTTTTCAGGAGGCAACTGGACTTTCTTGTTTTTTCTTTTGAAGACATTTTGCTTCTCATCCAAGAAGCTTCTTCAGCTCTGACATGAAGCGAAACGTCTTCAAAATTGAAAACAAGAACATTTTGGGGACAAATTTGGAGATATTCACATAATGTTTGTGAGAGTCCACTACAAATATTGTAAGAAAATGAGCCTCAATTCATGTTCAAGTACTTGAAATGCTCTGTGTTGTATATATTCAGGAGATTTCACACATAATCTGTAATCCTTGCCCATAGGGGAAGGAAAATAAACTACAGAATTCAGTAGAACTTACACTTGGGTAGGTCACTGAGTTCCCCAATAAAAACGGAATATTTATTTATTTATTTATTTATTTATTTATTTATTTATTTATTTATCGGACTTATATGCCGCCCTTTCTCTACAAGGACTCAGGGCGGCTCACAACAATAAGCAACAACAAGTCCAAATTAAAATTCAAACAATAAAAGAATCTAAAATTCCCATTAAAACCCGTTCAGTCCAGGCCAGCCTGGCAAAACAACCATGTTTTAAGGTCACAGCAGAAAGAGCAAAGGTCGGGGGCCACCCAGAGCTCCAAAGGGAGCTGATTCCAGAGGGTAGGTGCGCCTACAGAGAAGGCTCGCTCTCTAGGGGCCGTCAGCCGATATTGCTTGGCCAACGGAACTCCAAGTAGGCCCTCTCTGTGTGAGCGCACCGGGCAATGGAGAGCTGTTGCTGGCTGCAGGTGATCCGCCAGATACTCCGGGCCTAAGCCATGTAGGGCTTTATAGGTAATCACCAACAATATTCGAATGTTCTTGCTATATGCCACTTAGCAACATAACTTATCTTCTTCCACAAAATATTGGTGCAATCTTTTCCACTAATCTAGAACACTCCTACAATTTGGAGCTATTGTGAATTGTAAGATTTATAGCCTGACATATCCAATAGCCTTAAATTGGAGATGGCAATTGAACTGCCAAGGGCATTTTCCCAATGTGTGGAACTGCTAAGTCATGCTTTCCGCTGTTGTATAGTTCCATGAATACCATTATTTTATTATTGCTCTGAAGGTGTATTTTAGGTTTTGCCACAAGCCTTGAAATGTTTTATTGAGCAAACCTATGTGCCTTTGTAGCTGTCCATCCATGGGGTATTTAGCCAGTGTCAGCATAGGACAATAGAAATTGTAATCAATAGAAAAAACATTGTTTCAAAACTCTATGCACATCACCACCACGTTTCCATCTCAGTTTATTTCTGTACTTCAAATTATGTTTTACTTTTTATCCCTGAAGATCAACATAGGAAGTTCCTTATCAAAACTCTTTGGGTGATGACTCGGCTTACTGTATGACCAGAATCTATGGAAGCCTTCCCAACCTGCTGCTCTTTAGATATGTTAGAATATAATTCTTATAACTCCAGCCAAGCCTGGAATCCTTAGAAAATAATCCATCATATTTAGAACGAAGCTCTTTAGAGAAGTCTTGGCCTTCAGATTCAGCTGCCTTTTCCAAGAACCTTTATATGAGTTAAAAAATGAAGCTCCAGAATAAATTTACCACAGTAAAATAAGAAGGAAAGAGTTTAATAATCACAACAGATTATTGAGTCTGTTACAGTACATTTGAAAACTGCAAATAGCTTCCCTAATGTTATTGCTTAGTTGCATTAAAAATGCATGGTGTATATTATGTGACTCATTATTCATGAAGCAGGTTTCCTACCTTTTGTCTGTCAAAGTATCTGAAGGAAAGAGTAAGAGGAGATCTGGCACTTATACACCTTTGTTTCTCTTGCTGAATTTTTAATAACACCTCCAGCGAGCCAGTTGGTGAAGCTCAGTGTCTGCCGAAGAGTGAAAGGACAGAGCTATCGAGAAAGACTAACCCTTTGTGGTTCTCATTTGAGCCTCGCCTTCATCCAGTCTTGATTAAATTACCTATCGAGTGTGCCCGGCTATCATGATTCACAGCTCTGAAAAACAAGCTGAATTTCATCTTAAAATATGTGGAGGTGAGAGACTGAAATGAGAAAAAAAAAACAACAAGAAGAAAATTCACCACAAGTAAAAAAAAAAAAAAGGCAAAAAAAAGCACGCTCTTCTTTGCTGATATTATTCTTAGCAGAAAAATGGCTTCGTTTTAAGATTTTACAAGGATTGAAATCTTTCCTCCCCCCCCCCGAGTTTCTTCCAAGTTGTACAGGGATGATAAGCAAATCCCACTCCCTACTCTATTCCATTCTCATAAAATGCAATAAGGTAATTTGCATTAAATTAATTGCTTTAAGTAACAAATCCAAGGTCTCTGAGTGTGTTTCAATGATTGCCTGCAGCAGAACACACATAGCCTGCATTTACTTTAAAAGATTAGCATTGCTCTCAACTCAGTGCTTTCCAAATGTGTTACGAGCTGATGAGGTATACTGCTTGAAGTGTTATTAGATAGGACTGGGGCAGAGGTGGGTTTCAGCAGGTTCTGACCAGTTTTGAAGAACCGGTAGCGGAAATTTTGAGTAGTTCAGAGAACCGGTAGTAAAAATTCAGACTGGCCCCGCCCCCATCTATTCTCTGCCTCCCAAGTCCCAGCTGATCGGGAGGAAATGGGGATTTTGCAGTATCCTTCCCCCAGAGTGGGGTGGGGATGGAGATTTTACAGTATCCTTCCCCAGCCACATCCACCAAGCCACACCCACAGAACCAGTAGTAAAAATTTTTGAAACCCACCACTGGACTGGGGGGAACCCAGTTCAAATCCAGTCTGAGCCATGGAAAGTGCCAGCTATTCTTTACTAGTCCAATCAAAATCACAAGGTTGCTGTTCTTAAGAGTGTGAGTTTTACTGTATGCATATCACATCGGAACCCAGAAAATCTAAATAAGGATATATGGCCCTTTGCAGATTGGGGGATGAGCATGACGGGCGTTATAGTCGAGTTTATCTGTATGTAAGCAAAAGTTAACAATAGATATAATTAGGGTCTTTGATCACACAGAATAGGCAGTTAAGAATTTATTTATTTTTAATTTGATTTATATGCCGCCCTTCTCCGGAGACTCAGGGCGGCTTACAATGCGTTAAGCAATAGCCTTCATACTTTTGTATATTTATACAAAGTCAGCTTTTTGCCCCCACAAACTGGGTCCTCAATTTACCCACCTTAGAAAGGATGGAAGGCTGAGTCGACTGGAGCCTGGTGAGAATTGAACTCGCAGTAATTGCAGGCAGCTGGATGTTAAATGCTGCCTTAGGAGGCATTAGCCTCCTACGCCACTCAGGCTCCTAAGAATGTGTTCTATTCCCGACTCTGTCTCCTAACTCGAATTTGTATCTAAGTCAGAAGTCATCCTTCTGAACAGGCTGCCTTTTCCTAAAAACGGTGGCTGGGTTTTGCTTGGTTGACGAATCACTGAAGTTGCACAATGTTTTTTCATGAACCACTGAAAAACATTAAAAACAGGCAGTACATTAAAAAAAAAAATGCAGCTTCGATGGTTCGGCAGTCTGATGGTTCCAGGAACAACTGTGCCATCGGCCATTTTTAGGAAGGGGCAGCCTGTTTGTAAGTACAGGTTGTCCTTATGTCAGTGATGGCTAACCTTTTTGCCATCGTGTGCCAAAAGTGGGGGGAGTGCGGGGTGGTCGCGCACGTAAGTGCCCACACCCATAATTCTATGTGCCCTGCATCCCACACATGCGTGCGCAGCCCCCTGTGTTCCCCCCGCATTTGGCATGTGTTGGTATAATGGACCTGGTAGGAGGCCTGTTTTTCACCCTCCCCAAGCTCCAGAGTTTTCTAGGAGTCTGGGGAGGGCAAAAACAGCATTCCCCACCCCCCTGGAGGCCGGAAACAACCCATTTGCCGACTTCCAGTGGGCCCAGAAGGCCCAAAAATCAGCTGGCCAGCAAGCACATGCGCGCTGGAGCTTAGCTAGGGCAACAGTCAGGTGCCCACCAATATGGCTCCGCGTACCACCTGTGGCACGCGTGCCATAGGTTCGCCATCACGGCCTTATGTCATACGCTCTTAAACCCAGGAACTGCCTGTATGATAGCTCAGATTAACTGAACCTCATTTCTAATATCACAACACACTAGGTTGTGTGGATGACTGGGTTGCGATTCAGTGTGTTTTGACAAAAAAAGAAGAATCCTTTGGTAGCTATTCTCTATTTCCCTCTTGTTGACTGTGGTCTTATCTCTTGAGTTTGGTATCTGCTCTGCTGTTGTTTAGAAGAGTTGTGAGGCCCCAGCTCCTCACCCAGGCCTTTGATGAGGGAGAAGGAGACCCTTCATTTCACTGACTTTGGAATATTTTAATTTTTTTAACGTTTTATTGTAATTTCTTTGAGTGTTCTGAGTCAGACTACATATTACCCAGTCCTTTTCTACTGATATTTGCACATCTTAACTATTTTTCAAGGGATGTGGTGGCTCAGTGGTTAAGACGCTGAGCTTGTCGATCGAAAGGTCGGCATTTCAGTGGTTTGAATCCCTAGTGCTGCGTAACGGGGTGAGCTCCCGTTACTTGTCCCAGCTTCTGCCAACCTAGCAGTTCGAAAGCATGTAAAAATGCAAGTAGAAAAATAGGGAACACCTTTGGTTGGAAAGTAACAGTGTTCTGTGCACTTTTGGCGTTTAGTGATGCCGGCCACATGACCACGGAGACGTCTTTGGACAGCGCTGGATCTTCGGCTTTGAAATGGAGATGAGCACCACCCCCTAGAGTCAGGAACAACTAGCACATATGTGCCAGGGGAACCTTTACCTTTACCTAACTATTTTTCATTCTGTTTCCCATTTTCTGTAAACATTCTCACAAAATGCACAAATCCAAGAATGGCATTAATATTTATTATTAATATTTATTTTAACTGTGAGGTTTGGGACTAATGAAGAAACCAGATTAGGATAAAAATGGCCTTGCTTTCTTAGTACCATCAATTATAGCAAGTATAATTGCTATATTGAAGTATAATTGCCCAACACAAGAATGGCACTTCTAGATAAAGAAGTGCCATTCTTGTGTTGGGCAATTATACTTCAATGGGATTTAAAAATTACCTCCTTTTCATTATTTTTAACTCCAAAGGAAAGATGACAATAATGTATCAGTTGATTTTTCTCTAGCAAAATCACTGAAGAGCACTTTTACAAGAACCCCTCAGAAATATATTGAGAATAAACTTTTAACGAAGGCAGATATTCAGGCCAACACATCTGGGTGTCAAAAATTAGCAAAGCGAATTAACTGGGTCTGTCTCTTTTCACTGCCATCTAGTGCTCATATGGATTTTGGCAGGTCAGGTAAGGTAACTAGTTCATTCAAGTATATTGCTTGAGAATAAATTCATACTTGAGCTGATCCAAGTAAAACAGCACATTCTCAAATAGGTTCCAGCACACATTCTCAGGGGAATCCAGGATTTTGCAGAATTACAAATTTTTTGGGCAAACATTGTATTAAAAAGTATTTAAAACATTAATCTCTCAACTGAATTCATGGAAAGTAGGCATAAAGAGAACAAAGGACTGGTAATTGCTTGGAACATAATGAAAACAATTACGTGCCACAAAAGCATGTGGAGTTTTCCAGCTGGAAATATCAAATGAAATGATGAAAAACTGAAGCAAAAGGAATTGCAAATGAGTTGAAAAACCATACAAAAGGCAATTGCTGCAAAATGGGAAATGAGAAAAAGATTGTGTGTGTGTGTGTGTGTGTGAGAGAGAGAGAGACAGAGAGAGGGAGAGGGAGAGGGAGAGGGAGAGGGAGAGGGAATGGAATAGAATGAGTTTGATGGATTTTAAAAAAATAACTTGCTTTGCAAGCGGAGAAAGAAAGGTAAGCCAGGGAGTTCCAAAAGAACCAATTACATTAAAAATAAACTAAATAAACTAAACGTGATGAAATAATATGGGGCGAAAGTGAAGTGGGGAAGTGCTTGAAAGAGCATTTTAAAGATTTATATGGCAATATTTTGACTACATGTAAATAGAGAGAAGCTAGAGCAAATAGATGGATTTGTGCATTTTGTGAGAATGTTTACTGAAGATGGGAAACAGAATGAAAAATATTTAAGATGTGCAAATATCAGTAGAAAAGCCCTGGGTAATATGTGGTCTGTTCTGAGGAATAATGTTGTTGAAAGAAGTGAAACTGGTTGTATATTAGAATCTGCTTTCACCTACAGCACATTGGATTTATTCACGGGGTAGAGGATTAAATACAAAAGCGAGTAAATATGAAAGAAGGATATTGAAGTGATCGGATCCTATAGAGAGGGTAAAGGAGGATCTAATTACAAAGAAGAGTGGATGAGTTGGAAGAAAAGAGAAGACCAAGATTCTCAAAAACAGAAGTTTAAAGAACAATAGGGACTGCATGAAGTCCTGTATGTATGAGGTGGAAGGAAGGAAGGTTTACAAGCATGGAATGAAGTGGTATGAGGAATGCTGTGATTAGTTTAGCTATATTTCCTTTTTAGGGTTTTTTTGGCTTATGTTTTCTATTTCTTTGCTTCTTTCTTAGTCTTTTTGGGCACATTACTTTATATTGCTTATTTTATATTATTTATTTCTATCCCACTTTTATTATTTTTATCAACAACTCAAGGTGGTGAACATAACTAATGCTCCTAATTTCTCCTATTTTCCCTACAACAACAACCTTGTGAAGTGGATTGGGCTGGGAAAGAATGACTGGCCCAAAGTCACCGAGCTGGCTTTCATCCCTAAGGTAGGACTAGAACTCACCAATTTCCCATTTCTGGCCTGGTGCCCAAAATGAATGACATAATGGAATACACACACACAACACACAGTCAACCTACTCCACATAACACATTCACACTGAGACATATTAATCAGTGCAAATCAATTCATTGCAGGAGAAAGTTTTTCAATTAAGGTTATGCCTGGTATTTTACTGCTTTTCTGAAGGTTAGTAGAAAGATGTTCAAGTTTCCAGTCACCCAAAGTCACCCAGTCAAATTCTGGATCTAAGGTAGGATTAGAACCTGGGGCTTCCTTCTTGTACTCCAGTACCTTAACTCTTATTCCACATAAACTGTGTCTATGCATGTAATTTTTAAATGTGATAAAAGGATACTCTAGGCATGTATCTGAAATACACGCCTAGAGAGTAAACATGTGAACAATATTTGATTTTAATTAAGTGGAAATGAAGTCGAAATCTACATTTTGTTCTAGAGTTTTGGAGTGTGGCCTGGCATTAAAATACTTACTGCTGTCCTCTGCTCCAACGGTTTGCTCACTTTTGCTTTGCATCAGTGGTGAAATGTAAAATCTGTTACTAACGGTTCTGTGGGCGTGGCTTGGTGAGGAGGGTAATGTGACTGGGTGGGAGTGGCCAACTTTTTTTTTTTTTTACTTTTAAAAGCATTTTTTCTGCAACCTCTTCGGCCGAAGAGGTTGCAGAAAAAAAAGCTTTTAAAAGCCTCTGACAATCAGGCAACTCAGCTGGGATCATCAGAGGCTTTTTAAAGCATTTTTTTTTCTACAACCTCTTCGTCCGAAGAAGTTGTAGAAAAAATGCTTTAAAAAGCCTCGGACGATCCCAGCTGAGCCGCGCGATCATCAGAGGCTTGGTTTTTTTAACTTTTAAAAGCATTTTTTTGGCTGAAGAGGTTGTAGAAAAAATGCTTTTAAAAGATAAAAAAAAAACCTCTGATGATCACGCGGCTCAGCTGGGCATGGGGGGGGGGGTTGCAGGGATTTTTGCTACCGGTTCTCCGAACCACCCGCCACCATCGCTATCGGATCGAGTGATCTGGTCCAAACTGGGAGCATTTCATCCCTGCTTTGCATCCAGGTGATGATCCTGTCCCCATCCTCACCTGATCTGCTTTCCACACCCCTAGACCACCAATTCCTTCATAATAAAAGAGAATGTTATTTTGAGAACAAGAGGTTGTAATGAGAGAGATGTCGTTAATAACGGATAAATCTCAGGGTGGAACTGGAAGAGACACCTGGAGACAGGTGTTCAGTCCCTCAACAGTTATACCTGTTGGGCTGGTCAACTGACTGGACTGAAATTTAGTAGTGAGGGGAATGAGTTGAGTGTTGACCCCTCCTATTCTCTCAAAGACTTATTCAAACCCACTTCCCTAGCCAGGAAAGACCGAAGAGCCTTTTGGTGTGTCACATTTTGTTTAATGGCCTCAGGAATCTCCTTGTATTCCTCAGGATCTCAGGCTGCTTCTCCAAATTCTTCATCCCAGCTGCTCCTTAGGAAAGCATAAAATATATGCAGAGCAGATATCAGGCTGGAGGAAAGCGCCCATAGCTGTAAACATGTCTGGCACACCTCCTGTAGGAATATTTACTGCCCTAACAAAGATTAACTCAATATAGGCCATAAAATCATTCAGAAAAAAAGTCAGAAGGAGAGGTGGTTGCTCTAATATCCTGATTTTTAGTTTCTTCTTCCCTGTGAAAAAAAGGAATATCATTAAAGATATTAAAGCAGGGGAGTTCAACCTTGGCAACTTGAAGACTTGTGGATTTCAATTCCAGAATTCCCTAGCATGGCTGGCTGGGGAATTCTAGAAGTTGAAGTCCACAGGTCTTAAAGTTGTCAAACTTGGATATCCCTGTATTAAAGTATTCAATAATTCATAGCATTCAACCTTTTTTCTTTCCATAGAAGAGACACCTTCTTTTACCTAGTCAGAATGCAGAAAACCTTTCCTCACCATTCATGAGTATGGTGTCCTCCTGGACTGCCTATGGGAATTGAGGACATTTTCTTAGAATGGTTCCACCTTCTTCGATGGATGGTACTTCGTGGTTACTGTGAAGAAGAAGAGATCAGCCTTTTAGCCAGTGACCTCTTCAGTTTTCTCCCATCTATTTTTTACTGTCTACTTGGCAACTTTATGAGGTATGGACTTCAATTTCTAGAATTCCCATGCTGGCTGGAGAATTCTGGGAATTGAAGAACACTGATCTACATGGAGTAAATGGGAGAAGGCATTTATTGATTCAGGTGCAGTATTTTCAATACACCAATGATACTAATTCTATGTAATCATCCCAGATCACACTAGTAATGTGGTTGAAGTTTTGTCCTGGTGTCTGGAATCTGTAAAGACATGGATGGGAAGAAACGAACTGAAGTTGAGCCTAAGCAAAGCAAAAGTGCTATTTCTTTCATTCATTCATTCATCCATCCATCCATCCATTCATTCATTCTTTTGATTTTCATCCTACCTATGTGTTTTGTCAGCTCAAAGCAGAATACATTCCCAATGTTCTGGCCTCCTAATTTCCCCACCACAATATACCTGTGACATGAATTGGGCTGGGATGGACTACTGTAATCATGGCTTCTTCACCCCCACTTTTAGTTAAGTTTCTCACAATTCATTGCAGCTCGGTCCAATTATTTGACGTGACCACATGATTCTGAGTAGAGGCAGTGGAGGCGAATGAGGGCAAGGACAGCAATGGCAGAGAAGATGAAGGAAAGTGCTTTTGAAATGGAGAAATGCAGGCCTTGAATGTGCTGGCATCAGGGGTCAGTTTATCGACAGTGGGAGAAACTTCAATGTTCATCAATACTAAGGTAAAATGAGCCTCATCTCTCTTCTAAACTGAAATGTGCAAGGTGAGATGATTCCGATGGTATTAATAATGTACTTGTAATAAAAATCCTTTAATAAAAATGTAACTGGTGGTTCTGCTGTCAGCAACCGCAAATATAAAACAGGAGAATTAATATAAAAGCTGGAGTCACATTAGGGGCTTCCTGAAAGAATGGAGTAATTGTGATTCAAAATTGTGATTTGGGGCATATCTGGCCCATTTTTCCAGCAAAGGATCGACACAGATTCAGAATTTACACTAACTTGCCTCTTGAGCAACGAATCCCACCCTGACAATGTGAATAACCTGTGGGCGTGATGTATACTTCCCAAAATTAGGAACCTTTTGCTCTTCCCAAACCTCATTTGGGATTACAGGTAGTGCTTGACATGCAACAATTCATTTAGTGACCATTCAAAGTTACAATAACACTGAGAAAAGTGACTTATAACCATTTTTCAGTTACGACCTTTGCAGCATGCCCACAATCATGTGATCAAAATTCAGATGCTTGGCAATTGGTTCATATTTGCAACCATTGCAGTATCCCAGGGTTATGTATTCACCTTTTGTGACCTTCTGACAAGCAAAGTCAATGGGGAAGCCAGATTCACTTAACAACCGGCTTAGTAACTTATCAGCTGCAGTGATTCACTGAACAACCGTGGCAAGAAAGATACAGGGCAAGAAAGGCAACAACAGGGTAAAACTAACCAAATATTTCACTTAACAACATAAATTTTGAGCTCAGTTATGGTCATAAGTCTAGGACTACCTGTATTATACAATACTGAAGTTGCCATATCTGAGCTGCCAAACTCCCCATATCCACTAGATGGCAGCAGTGATTTAGAGCTTTCTGTAGATCTCTGCTACCATCCAATGGTTTGGATTTTTGCAGCCCATCTATATTAATCTTATCTATGTCTTCTTTTTAATCTAATAAAGTCAACACTGAAAAGGGATTGGTAGCTTTTCCATTAGCCTATGAATCATCTGGTTTTTTCTGGCATACTCCAGAATTTTATGAGGCTGCTTGGTTCCAAATAAACATAAATAAGATTGCAACTTTAACTAATTCCTTCCAATGAAGGATCTAGAGGAGCTTCTAGGTAAAGCCTTTCCTCTTTCCTATCCTAGTGCATTCGATGTTTACCTGTTCAATTGTGCATATGGCACGTTGATAACCCTCTTCTTAAATAATACAACCTGTCATCTGGTCTCTTGTTTGCAGAGAAAGGGCCAGCAGGCTGGCTGGGTCATACTGAATGGTTCTAAAGTTTGGAGGCACAGCTTTCTATTGCAAGATACTTGCAATGCACAAAAACAAATTGGACAGCCCTGTCTTTTGTTCTGGCTTCTTTTTTTTCTCTCTAAATAGAAGTGAGAGGGTGCTGGTTTGACACTTCTTAACCTGTCTGTACCATTTATGACTCACTCGGTACCCAGCTTTGACAGTCTTGTTTTTGCAGTTCCAGGAAGATATCAAGAGCTGGGTATTAGTTGGGTAGGAGGGAAGCGTGACCCCCCCACCCCCTCAGTGCATACACTTGTTGAACTCTCGTTTGCCTGGAAATGGTATGAACCTGGAGGTAACTTCACAGCCTGCTTTCCTATGGCCAACAAGGCTGAGCGCAATGAAACAGGCTGAATCTCAACAGAGCAGGTACCTGTTATTCCTTTCAGCACATAACAGAATAACAGAGATGGAAGGGAGCTTGGAGGTCTTCTAGTCCAACCCCTCCACACTCAGGCCTATACCATTTGAGACAAATGGCTGTCCAATCTCTTCTTCAAAACTTCCAGTGGTTTCCATCCAAATATGTATTTTTGTCCAATATTTTTTTTTAATTTTGAAAATGATAAAGCAGCACATAGACTTGAAACCAGAGATATTTTTATTGGGCATTTTACCGGAACAATATGATAAAAGGACTATATATTTGGTTTTACGTGTACTAACTGCAGCTAGAATTGTACTTGCACAACAATGGAAGAATGATGAGATCCCGACAGATGAGAGTGTAATTAAGAAAGTATTAGAATGTTCAGAAATGGATCGGCTAACGCTTACTGTTAAGAACAAAGAAGAAATGGAATATTTTTGGATATGGGACCTATTTTATCAATGGCTAGACAATAGAAACAGAAGTTAGAAAGGGAGAGACATTAAAAGAGGAAATGTTAAAATGGAGACTCATTATAGTAGATAATGTTAAATAGTATTGTTATTGTTATTATACTATTAATATAATTGTGATAAATACTATTGTAAACATCTGAACTATGACTGCTTAAAAACAATTGTACCCAGACAAAACATTGCTTGATGGAAATTGAATTTTTATGTTATATAAATAAAATAAATAAAACATTAAAAAAAAACTTCCAGTGTTGGAGCATTCACAACCTCTGGAGGCAAGATGTTCCACTGATTAATTATTCTGTCCCTCTGGAACTCTGGAACCAACAACTTATCAAAAAACTGGGTTTGTCCAACTAAGACTGGCCAATCTTTAAACCTTTTCCCCAAATGTATTCCATGCAAACCCATGCCTCATTATACCAAGGCTATACAATCATGTCGAACCACTTTCTCCTTTTACCAAAAACAAACAATCCACCAACCTGTTAAATAAGAAAACAAATTGTATATTTTTAGGATTTTGAGCGCTTTGAAGATTTATTTCAGCCTTCTGTAACTTGGCATCTGTAAATTGTCGATCACCCCCAGAATTCACAACTCGTCTGGGAATTTGATTTTGGAAGTTGCAGTTCAGGTCTATGGATCACATTAGAAAATTTTAGTTTTCTAATGCATTGATAAATACAAAGGACTTTGATTTTATTTGCAGCCTATGAGCTACGCTCTTTTTCTCACCTAGATAACTACTTTTCTTCCATCTGATTCGTTGATGTGCTATTACTGATTGCACTTCATGTTTCCTAAATCATTGGAAATATTAACGTTTGTGAAAATTTTATGCAACTTGAACTATTATTTGATAGGGCACGTAAACTCCAATTTAACTAAGCATGATCAAGATTCATTGTAACCAAATGGGTGAATTAGCCAAAATGGAAGATGGAGATGAAAGATGGGAAATGGAGAAAAGCCTCCCTAATCTAAATGAGTAGGGAACATGAACTAACTTTGATTGGATTAGAATGTATTGCAATGTATTTAAAAAAAACTAATTTAGTAGGTGTGATAATTACTATCAAGAACTAACTCGGATTACTCATAAAGACTTGTTGACTTGGGTTCTTCATACAAGGAAGTCATATTCCAGGAACTTTAAGATGATAACACTTGACCCATGTTAGTCCTTTCACTTTATATAGAAACAAGCAGGATTTTTTAACATACTAGATTATGTGATTTGTGGATGATACTGAAAGTGCTGAGAAAATGATTTGTGGTAAATTGGCACCTTCAAAGAACAAATCCCCAGTCTGAGGAATTGGCAGCTCCACATGACAAATCTTTCACTTGAATTGGAAGAGGCGAGGAAAGGCAACAGCCCTCATGGAAAACAGGTAGAGAACAGGTAAGAGATTGCTCAGTTCTTCTAGTTCTGTGCAAGATGGGAACTTTGTATTCACTTTTTTCTGTCGCTGTCTGGACATTTTCTAATTCCTAGGACTGCTTTTTTTCACCTGGACAGGACTTGGTATGCTGAATATAAGCTTCTATTTTATATATATCGAATTTTCTTTGCATACATTTGGATTGCAGACGGAATAATAAACATAGTTTTTGTATCTTTTCACTTGCTATTTCAAATATCCCTTCCGCAAACCAATCTCTCAAACCTGTTTCTTTCTTTTTTTTAAAACAGACATTCATAAAGAAAAAAACAAAAAAAAACAAACAAACCCCAAAAACGAATGCATGTACAAGGTACCATTCACAACTGAAATATTTGCTGGTGCATTTTTGGGTACACTCAACTGTGATAATGGACCATAGCTAGAAAAGAAATTAGAGGTGAAGATTATGTGCAGAAATTCACAATTTATGTGAATAAAAGGGGTAAAAGGGAAGCAAACGGAAAGACAAAACGGCCGTGTCTTTCCATCCACTCTGATGCAACCTAGATTGGGGAAGAAACCGTGAAGGAAATACATGTTAGAACATATCACCGTTTCACTGGAATCAAAGAAGAGGTGGCAAACGGACAACAAAGCAATCACGTTATCTTAACTGGCCACAAAATCAATCTAGAGATTGCTAAACTTCTAGGAAATGGTGTGTTAATACAGGCCCTTTCTAGAGGCACCTGACAATGAAGAAGCCAAACTGTTTTGCTACCACAAATTGGCTCACAACAGAGAGAAGTTGCATAGGATGGAAAATCACACAAGATACTTTAAAAAAAAAAAAGCACCTCTTTCTCCATATTAAACAAGGAGGAAAGGCTCATGGTCAAGGAAAAGAAAAAGAAAAAAAAAATCCATGCAACTTCTAATTGTGACAAAATAAAGAGAAGATCAAATGATTAAATAACATTATTCCTGTTAATGGTGAACGTAAGCAAAACAGCCTAAATGCTGTTTTGACTGTTGTCCTTAGGTTTAACAGAGCTTTCCAGGGACTCTGAAGGGCAGTGAAATTTAAAAAATTGGGCCTTAAATTATGGAATATTTGTTGTTTTAAAAAGGTAGAGAACATGAGAAAGAAGAGGATGAGAAACAGTAGGAGGTAAATGCAGGAAACGTCCACAATAATAGACCATTCTGGACAAAACGCATGCACATTTGAGCATTGCAAATGAAAAATAAATAGGTATTTATAAATATTCTACTTTCCCTGTTCTCCATAATCCCTTGACTGGATTGCTGCCCCAGGTCAGCTGGATCTGGGCTGCAGAAATATGGTGGCTGCTAGATGATGGCATGGAGTTACAGAATCCCCTAATGCTTTGATGAATTTTAGTGTCCTTTCAGATGTTTGCAAGTCCAGATGTGATAGCCCTATTCTGCACGGCAACAAAGCAAGGAGAATGGTTTCAGGTTTCTGTGGAGACAGGAATGAAGAACATTTTTCCATACCTACCTTTAGACCAGGGGTCTCCAACTTTGGCAACTGTAAGCCTGGAGGACTTTAACTCCCAGAATTCTGGAGTTGAAGTCCACCAAGCTTAAAGTTGCCAAGGTTGGAGACCCCTGCTTTAGACAGGTAGAGGCCGGACTCTCTAGTCTGGAACAGGGGTGGGTTCTACTTACCTTTACTACCGGTTCACAATAGGGCCGCACGCATGCGCAGAAGTTTCCTGATGATGTCGGGGTTGGTGGGCGGAGCCTCCCAACGGCTTTACTACCGGTTCTATAGAACTGGTCCGAACTGGGGACAACCCACCACTTGTCTGGAATGACAGGATGGCATTTTGTTACTTATGTTATGAAAATTATGCCAGACAGCCTGAGAGTATTGGGGCTGGGTGTTTCTGAAGGATATCATAGCTAGTGATCTGACCAGTGGGTGGAAAGGAAGCTGCTTCCTGCAGTCCTGAAAAGGCAACTTCTGACTGAAGCAGATTTTGCAGGCAGCCGGGGAAATTCTGGCTTTGTGGTGTTCATATCTGATCAGAGAGTTCTTGCATCTCTGCTTTTATTTACTAGATAATAGATAATGAACATTTCCAAACCATCCGTATGAATGCTTCATTAGATCTAACCACTTGAAAAATGCAAAAGAGTGACTTGGACAGAGACGATACAGAACATACATGTATTCCAAAGCAGGGGTCTCCAACCTTGGCAACTTTATGCCTGGCGGACCTCAACTCCCAGAATTCCCCAGCTAGTTTTGCTGGCTAGGGAATTCTGGGAGTTGAAGTCCGCCAGGCTTAAAGTTGCCAAGGTTGGAGACCCCTGTTCTAAAGTCAGCTTTTCCAAACTTTTGGAAACTAGGTTTCCCCTCTCAAAAGGATGTTATTTGAATTTAGTAACATAGGCAGTCCTCGACTTACAACAGTTTGTTCAGTGACCGTTTGAAGTTACAATGGCACTAAAAAAAGTGACCTTTTCCACACTTACAACCATTGCAACATTTCCATGGTCGTATGATCAAAATTCAGATGCTTGACAACTGATTCATATTTATGAAGGTTGCAGTGTCCCGGGTCATGTGATCCCTTTTTCTGACCTTCTGACAAGCAAAGGCAATGGGGAAGCTTGATTCACGTAACAGCTGTGGCATAAAAAGTGGTAAAGTGGGGCAAAACTCTCTTAACAACTATCTCACTTAGCAAAAGAAATTTTGGGTTAAATTGTGGTCGTAAGCATTGGTGGATTGCTCCCGGGTCGCACTGGTTCTATAGAACCGGTAGTAAAACCGGTGGGAGGCTCCGCCCACTGACCCTGACATCATCAAAATGCTTCTGCGCATGTGCAGAAGAGTGCTCGCGCACGCTTGCTTCACACGCACGCGCATGCAGCCCTATTGCGAACCAGTAGTAAAGGTAAGTAGAACCCACCCCTGGTCATAAGTCAAGGTCTACCTGTATTAGTAATTGCCTTACATAGAGCCCTACGGTTGTCTGATCATAAGTGTAGAAAACGTGATAGAATCCAAATGTTTGGGGCACTCTTTTGCTATTCCCTGTTGGGAGATAAATGCTGAGAGACAACAGATTGCTACATTTCTACTGTGATTGGCAGTGGATTTCCAGGCTGTCAGAGATAGAGGTCATTCACCTCTTCTGGCTGAACCAGCAGTGTTCTGCCTGCAAAGCACGTGATCATTTTCAGAACAGTAGTAAACACAGGCAATGGGATGAACCAGATTTAATTGTTCTCCTTGCAGGTCTCATGAAACTGGAGCACACATATACGGTGAATATAGTAATAATATAATAATATAATATCTAATATCTAATCTAATCTAATCTAATCTAATCTATCTAATAATATCCAAGTGAAGAACTATGTTTGACCATCACTGACTGACATTTCAGGAAGAATGCTTTTTAGCGTATCTGCAGAAGATGTTCACCTCCATTGTTCTGTACGTGAAGGATGAAACCATGATTCCAAAGGCTTCTTCTATGCAGCTGGTGCTGAGATTAGATCTGCACATCTGCATTCCGCATACATTTGCAGCAAAGGTTTAAAGATTGGCCTGTATTAGTTGGGCAAACTCAGTTTTGATAAATTGCTGGTTTTAGAGGAATCAATATGTGCTGAAAGGAAAGACAGGTGCCCGCTCTGTTGAGATTCAGCCCATTGCATAGCGGTTACCTGGATAAAGGCCTTCAGAAGATAGGCACATGATTGACCCATAGCAGTATTTTCCCCATTGTCTGTGTATATATCATGTGAATTATGCCTCTGTGCAATGGAGGGTGAGACATATAATTCTACCACACAGAGACTAATTCCAAAGTAGTTATTTCCAATTTTATTCTAACCATTTCTTACAACGTAACAGTTTAGTGGCAAATCTCAGCTCTTTATTTTGATGGCAAATGAGACTGCTCCAAAGATGCAGGGAGGACCCCTGTCCCTTTCAGATTGGCATCCATGACTATAGAAATTATGGGACCAGTGGGCTGCCAAAACAAATAGAAGATAGCAATAGCACTTAGATTTATATAGTGCTTCACAGTGCTTTATAGTCCTTTCTAAGCAGTTTACAGTACATTGCCCCCAACTTGGGTTCTCATGTTACCAACCTTGGAAGGATGGAAGACTGAGTCAACCTTAACCCAGTGAGAATTGAACTGCTGGCAGTTGGCAGAATTAGTGGTTCTAAGTGCAATACTGCGTTCGAACCACTGCACCATCACAGTTCCAAAATAGTTAGTTTGGAACTTTCCTCTTGGGTTATGTTAGGGTTTTGCAACACTGTGCCCTAGATTGCTGCTATCTCTCCTCCCTGACTGCACCAGTATTGTTTAAGCTTTGAAGTTCAATGAACATTCAAATCACATGGATGAAAATTTATTTTTAAAAACAAAACGAAATGAGAATGCTGAAATCATACAAGATGTCTTGTGAAAAATCTAAAATCTCTTGCAAGATCTCACAGAGATTACCAAAATCTTATAAGATTTGGGCATGGATGGAATGCTGTATTTTTCCCACAAAATATATAATGCTGTCCAGGGAATGGGGAAAAACTTCTGACCCCTATTTTATGCCAGTTTTTATTAAAGAATGGGTAAAAGGGGTCTGTCCTTATTTTGCTCAACATTGTGAAGATGCAATTTCAATTTCTTTTCTTTTCTTTTCTTTTTTCTTTTTGCTGCAGACAAGATAACTGGGGAATCAGAAAGTTAAATTAGAATTCTTTCAAGGTGTCAATATGGTGACTTTCCACTTTTACATATTGTAAACACATTATAAATGCGTTTTATAATGATCTCTTTTGAAAGAAATATTTATGAGTGACATTTGTAAATTTCTGACTGTTCATAGAATTGGCTTGTTCTAGTGTATCCTGCAATGCTATTATAATATTGTTGATTTATTCTGGAAAGCTTGAACAGAGGTAGAGGAAATGGTTTCATTTTAAGAATTTGTGGAATTTTAATTTAATTTTAATTTTAAATGAATGTTCTAAAGCAGGGGTGTTCAACTGTGGTAACTTTGAGACTTGTGGACTCCAACTCCCAGAATTTCCCACTCAGCCATTGCTGGCTGGGGAATTTCTGAGCGTTGAAGTCCACAAGTCTTAAAAGTTGCCAAGCTTGGATAGCCCTGTTCTAAAGCAATGCTCTCTGTTTGGATTGGGTGTTTTATTGTCAAAATGAGTTCCTCGCCTCATGAGTTGAACATAAGCAATAGTTAAGCAAAATAAACAAATCCACCCAGCACTCTATTTCTCAAATCACTCTTCTAGTGAATGTTTGAGAGACGTACCACGCGACACATCTGGTACAAGCCAAACATTTTCAGTTAGTTGGATTGACAAGTTAATATTTGTCCATGAAATTATGGAGAGGCTTTATGAAGTACTCAAGCTAGTGGGAAAGAACCTCCATCAGCTGGCTGGCAGCTTTCAATCAAAGTTAGATCTGAGCCCAGGTGCCTGAACAATAAATATAATCTTGGACTTCCGGGCCAACGTTTGGCTCCTTGAATACTTAAAGCTCACTTAAAGCTTCCTGTCTCATTTTCTTTGAACTTTGTCCTTCTTCCTGAACTTACTTTACCACCTGTTCCATTCAATAATCTGTTCTGCACTAGGGACAATCTCCGGCTCAGTTGTTCTGAAGCTGCTGTTTTGAGCTAGAATTGATGAATGAATTAATGCATTTGCTGCATGGATGAAGCAATATTTATGGATATGAGCATAAAAGCAAAATATAAAATCACTATCATCTCTTCTCTCTCTCTCTCTCAAATCTTCTATCTGCCATCTCTCTCTCATTTTCTGTCTGTCTGTCTGTCTGTCTGTCTGTCTGTCTGTCTGTCTCTATCTATCTATCTATCTATCTATCTATCTATCTATCATCTATCTATTTATCTTTCCATCCATCCATCCATCTATCCATCCATCTATCCATCTATTCATCCATCCACCCATCCTCTATTATCTATCTATCTACCAGTATTTATCTGTCTGTCTGTCCGTCCATCCATCCGTCCGTCCGTCCGTCTAATCTATCTACCCATTCACCTATCTGCCTAACTACTTCATGGTGCTGGATTAGCAACTATTTGCATGTTCCAGAAACTCTCCTCAGCATAGCCTTACTCTGGGAGATTATGTATAGCTCCTGATTTATCAGCTACTCATATACTGACTATCAGCTACTCTTTGGATGATAGCTGAATCCATCTCAGCTATTAAATAAATCATCTTTCCATACCAGTAGAAGAGCAGACCAATAGGCAAGGTTTTGGGTTGCTTTAAATCTGAACTTGACTTGGTAAAAATAAAAGGCAAGATGGCTGGTTGGCTGCACAATAGAAGCTGCATTTCTTTTCACCTGCATGCTTTGCTTGTTAAAAGGAGTGATGCTTCAATTGCAATATTATGCCTGCCATTTTGGCTTTTTTGATTCCCCCCCCCCCACAAGCTCACATATTTCTCCTCAACTGAATTTAGTTAGATTTATCACTATGGGCAAAACCACTTTGCAAAACCAGTATAAATTAACATTTAATTTCTTTTAGTATTCAGCCTCCACAAATCTTGACTGGCAAGGAAAAAGGTCTCTATTTTAGGAGCTTGTCCTTCTGGGAATTTTTTATGTCATTTCCAGGTATCTCATGCCTTCCAAGGAAGGAAACACTATACTTCACAGGGATGGGTGAATGCTATTGATGTTGTTTTCTTTCATAGGTGGTGTATAAGTCAATTAATGTTGTAAATCAAAATTAGTAAATTTGTTGTATAACCAGTAAGTAATC